TAAAGTCAAGGGCCCAATGTAAAAAAAAAAAAAACTGGTGTTCCCGTTTAAATCTAAGACTATTTGGCTTATTTCAAGTAGCTCCAAGTTTTAGAAGCCTCAGGTTTTATTATACAATTCATTAATTGTTGATGGTTTTCTAGAGAATGCATTTCTATACTCTTCTCAATGTTAGAGCAATGTGCCAACAGTCTCCACTCTGGGTTCCTGAGCAGGACCCTTAACCCCACACTGCTCCCTGGGCGCCACACAATGGCAGCCCACTGCTCCCCAAGGGGATGGGTCAAAATGCAGAGAGTTAATTTCTCCATTATGGGACAATAAAGGGATTTAAATTGCAGGGATTTATATGTTTAGCCCTTCTGTAGGTGGGTATGATCAGACTCCTAATGATGCTGAAAATTGAGCTTCGCTGTCATTGTTCACTTTTTAATAATAAGCCATTAATCCAGACTGTACCTGTCAAACATGACGTACTCTCCTTCTTAACCATTACCGTTTCTATGGTCATATAAAATACTGTGGATCATTTCAATACCATTATTAGCACAGCTATCATTATCATTTTAGAACCAGTCATCTAAATGATACCTTAACACAGTTAGATCATTTTCAGTTTTTGTTGCCACACTGGAAACTACGTCTTTATAAAAGAGTGTAAATCAGTAAATGTCAGGAAAAGAATAGTCACACTCAGTGAACTGGGTGGCAATAAAGATGAATGAATAGTGAGATTAAATCCAAATATTCTTCAACAAATTTTTAGTTACGTTTTTAAAAACTTACATGAAATATTTTATTCTTGTTTTTGAAATATTTTCTCATCCTCCAACAGATATGCTGCTTAAACTAAAAAGTGGCAACAAATTTAAAATGAATGTTTGTGGTCTCAGAGTTTACAGCACAACCAACCGAAATATGGCATCTTAATATTAATGGAATGAGTGAAGTAAGTCTATCAATATTGATCTATCTAGATAGATTGAACTAGATCGATAGATAGAAAGGAATTGATCGTTATAGATATATATAGATAGAGATATAAATAAAACCACATGCATAAGAAAGCGAATCACATGTTGATTTGAAAAAAAATCAACAATACTTAAATGACCATAAAGGGGAAACTACATTAGATGCCAACCTACTTCTTTTTATTTTTATGACTTTAATGAACATAATGTTAATAAAAAAACTGCACAACACAAATATTTTGATTTGTTTCCACAAAAAAGAAGATTAATGTCTACCCATTTCCTCCATATTTCATTCTAAGAATTATATTTTTCTCTCCGTTATGTTTGCCACAAATAAACGTTGCTTCTGTAAATACCCTAAGCAGTTTCTGAAGACTGAGCCATCATGAGGAGGCTTCAGAGGTAGCTGAACAGTAATCCCTTTACAAGCAAATATGGGACTGATTTACCTGCATGTGTCAAGATGAACATAGGTTGTTTTTTTTCTATTAAACTGAACTTAATAACTTGCCAGATGGTGTTTGGAGTCGTAACAACTCTGGAAAAACGCCTGAAACAACAGTAACTACACGTGAACCAGGAGACTGAACAACAGCTGCTGGAAAAGTAAATCAAACTCTAATAGCTTCACATCTGCTACACAAAAAAAAACACATACTGCAAATTAAACTAATCAGTCTTTGATTTATTCAGAAATATATTTGGTACTTTTATCATCTGCTAAACAAGGAGCAGTTCATGCGCTGCTGGACGTTTCATGGCAGAGATATGAAATGGAGCGACTGATTCCCAGCTGAGCTACTGGTGGCGTGTTTCCAACAAGCTGCAGCCCTTACCTGAGCATGAGGTTCATTAGCTGCAGTCCTTCACCTTTTAGGAAACGGTCCCGATTGGAGGACAGCATGAGGCAGGAGCACAGAGCGTCAAAAAGGTTCTCCATCATCTCCTGCTCCTCAGCTGTGTTCGGGTTGTGGCGTTTAAACACCTGAGAGGAGAGGTAAAAAAAAAAAAACGTATGGATGTTTTGGGTTAATTTTAGGTGAAAGTTTGATTTTGATTTTCTGAGATAATTTAAGGCACAGTTAGCAACTCTTGGGTGGAACAAGAAAAGCCATGAATCGACACAGGAAGTGGGTATAATGATAAAAATGGCTACCTGGTGCACCATCAGATACACTGATTTATTTAGAAATGTATTTGCTTCATAAAGCAAACACTCTCCATTCAGTCACACTAATCTTGCGAGATTTGGAAAGAAAAATGTTCACAAATTGCAGGTTCTAGACGTGTTACGGTGAAAGTGACAGACAGAACCCAGAACTGGGACAAAAGATTGGTGTCTCTGGGTCTCACAGATTCTCCAGAGATGCTCCCTGTTCAGGGAGTCCAGAAGCTACAGCTGGATCACAGCCACTTTCTGTAGAGCTTAAGATAAGCAAGGCTGCATTTTGGATCTCAGACAGTAGCAGGGAAATAACGGCCAGAAGGCCGGCAGAGTGATGACCAAAAAGGGTAGAGGCTGTGGTGGCTATCTTGGCTGGAGCTAGGGGAACAATCCTTCAAGAGCAGGGGCTGAAATTCACTGCGGGATAGCAGGAATAGTGCAATATCTGATCCATCGCTGCAAATCCGTTCTTCATAATGCAGAATATTCCCTCTTTAAAAATATCATGGCAAAGTGTAGCTACTAATATGGACATTTTCAGCTTTAGACGAAGAAGAACATCTCCACTACTCAGTCTTGCAATCTCTTCTTTTCTTTTTTATTATTCTTCTCTTAGAGCACGGTGTAGTTTTTAGCTAGCAAACCATTTATTATCATATTTAATATATTTAACCTTTAAAATATTCCTAATATGGATCACTGGTTAAAACACAAATCTATTGTTGTATCAACGGAGGAACCAGCTTCTTAAACAACAACACAAAATCAAAAAAGGTCAGATTTTCCAACTCCTGTGAATTTTGCCTTTCATAAATCATACGTGCTGCGGTACTTTGGCTTCGCTGTAGTTGCCATAAACATGCCTTTTGCTTCACTCCACCTCCCAAGTCGCACCCTACATAGGAATAACTTGTAAATCATTTGCATTTGTTAACTACTTTATATATACTTTTGTTTTAAAAGTCAATGTTTCCATTTCACTTCAGCAATGATGGCCTATTTTGTGTTGATTAAATGAAACCCGGTAAAAACATTGCAGTCTTTGCTAGGGTTGTCACGATACTAAACTTTTCAACTCGATACCGATACTAAGGAAAATATCCAATACTCGATACCATTTTTTTGATACCACAAGGAAAAAACAAAGACTCCAAAATTCTACAGAAATATTTTCATTAATAAATAAAATACAATAAATAAATACAATAAAGGTTGTATGCTGTGCATAATATTAAGCAAGCTTGATAAAAAACTTACAAAATTAAAATTAAGTGTTCCCTCCTTGGCTATGCTTTGCACACATAACAATGACACTAGCCAAACCGGTTAAAAAACAAAAATCATTCTCAGCAGCTGCACCTGTTATAAAAAAAAAAGTCTGAAACTGAAAAGTGCACAAAATTATTCAATCACACAGTGTTCTGAAAGTGCATTTTCCTCTATTCTGCACTTTAGCTGAATGACTGCTTAGGTGCCACTGGTGGTAGCACTGTATCGATACTTTTAAAAACGAGTATTGTACATACAACGTTTCAGTATTGATACTTTTGACAACCTTAGTCTTTACTTATGTCATAGTAAATTGCCACACCTGAGTATTATGAACACTAATCCACATTCATCTCATTGATTCTAACTTTTTCTTTTCCAGATTTCTAAAGGAAAAAGGAATCCTGAGACTAAAGAGAGAATTTTGGAGAATCTTTTTTTCCCACTGGTCCTAATTTCCTTCAATAGTGTAAACTTGACAAGCAAAGCAATACCCCAATAAAAAGCCCAACCAGAGGATATGTTTTCACTGAAAGTTAGAAGGCAGAGAAAAAAAAATTATATCTTACAGAGAGCTGCTGCAGCAAGACATCAATACCGTCCATTTCCCCCAGTAGTTCCCTGGTAGCTGTGGGGGGGAAAACACGACAGTCTTAAAAACTCAAATTGAGCCATTACAACAAAACAGCAGGTAAAGATAAAAAAAAAGAGGTTCAAGGTAGACACAACATATTTTATTTGTTACACAACACAAAAGGAAAGTCAAATTGAAAGAAAAACGAGAAGTAAGCATGATTTAAAAGTTCATGGCCAACTTAAATATGAGGTCAGTGGAAAAACGGGTGAAAGTAACCTGTGGAGATGAACCAAAGGTGTTGCAGCATTAAGAGAAGTTAAATTAGGATGTCAAGAAGCAATAAAAAGTGTAACAGTAAATAGAAAAAGGGGGTGATTTGCCTTGTTCTTGCCTCAAAGATTGACAGAAATTAAACATTATCTGGGACTGCTTGTCTTTATTTCGTTTTTTTAGAAATTGATTTTCTCCGAGGATGTTAAAATGCAAAGAAGGCGGCAGGTAATTGAGACAGCAAGGGTAAAGAAAAGGAGAACTGGTGTAAAATGAGACCAGAGTCCTGCTGCATAACAATATGGATTGTATCATTAATGAGAATCTGTCCAAGGACCTGATCATTCCTCTGGCCATCAACGACTTTTTTATTCTAAAGGATGAGAAACTAAGAAGAGGAGAGCAAACATACCCAGAGAGATGGTGGAGAACATGAAAGGTAACATGAAATAGAAAGGTAATGCAGGAAAATGAGCTTGACAAAGGAGGGGAAGGAGGAGGGAGGAAGAAATTCAAAGGAATATAAATAGGAGGTGTAGTACTAGAGACGTGTAATGAGGAAAAAAAGGAGAAAGAAAATGACACAATAAGGGGATCCTGACATAGAACACATCAGGGTGGGGGGAAGGAGAAAAGAAGAGATGAGCAAAATAATTTTGAGTGCTTCAAAAACAGAGCAGAGCATTTACCCTGAAAAACTTACTGTCATTATTCTGCAGCAAGATGGCCAGAATCTCACTGCAGTAAAGCTTGTTAGCATCAAACGGCATCTTCGCCTGAGAGGGAGAGATTGAGAGAGCAAGTTCTAATTATCGCTCATCTTGAGAGGCTCTGTTCTCCAGAGAGCTGCAAAAATCACCAAGTATTCTACATGAAAACCTGCAGTTTGTAGCCTGGAGCGCAGACCTGCCTAATGCTCGCTATGAAGCAGAGCTGCACAGCATTTCTAAACACATTTATAACATCATTTATTTCAATCACTACAACCAACAGACTGAAAACAGAAAAAAAGATAACCTTTGGAGCAACACAACTTCAGAATAACCCAATTAGAAGTGGTTTTAGATAAATGCAGAGCTACAACCGACACTTTCATTACACTTTAACATAGTTATAAAAACTTACTTTATGAAATCGATGAATCAAAATTTCCAAGTCTATGTAGTATAATGTTCTCAGAAAAACAAAGTTATTCAACAGATAAAACCTCTTTGGACTCATTTGAACCATTTTACTAAATGTATCTTATTTATTTCCATCTTAATGACACAAATCTGACTCTGACTCTGATGTAATGTAAAGAGATTGCATAGAAACAAAAAAAAAAACTGCATTAAAGTTGATGGAATGCAAGAAAGAATTATTTCTGTACTGCAAACTGACATGACTTTAGTTTTAAATGTGCACTTCTAAAATAACCCATAAAAAAAATCATAATGAAGTGTTTAACCCACATTTTGTTATTCTGTTAGCCTTTTCATAATTCCTGCTTATGGATCAATAACCTTTCTTCAGGATTCATACAGGGATGAGTAACTCTAATTTAATGCTTTTTAATGCTCTTTTAATAGAAATAATTTGTATATATATATATATATATATATATATATATATATATATATATATATATATATATATATATATATATATATATATATATATATACAGGGATTGATGTTAACCATTGCCCTATCGCCCGGGGCAAGTAGTTTTTATTGTTGGGAGAGTACGAATTTCATTGCATTTGCCCGCCGGGCAAACCAACACACCACCATCACCAACATTTGCTGAAAACGACCACAAGCGTTGCCGGCGCCATCTTTGTTGTTTTGTACACATTCTCGTGTGATTTGAAAAAGCTGCGTGACTTTCTGCTAGATGGCGTGATTCAGCTCTTGGGGAGAGAATTCTGCAGAGCAGCAGCTGGATGATGAATTTAATCTATACTATAATACACGCTAGATAAAAAAATGCATTATCATGCATATACACACCAGGAACAACTGGAAACTTAGTGAATTACAAAAAAACATTTAAAAAAACAAACATGTTTCATTGATACATATATACAAAAATGAATATTAGGAACTATATTTATCAAACATTATACTGGGCAAGTAAAATTGTTTCTGGGCTTTCACATTTCATCAAAACCTGGCTGGAAAACAAGGAATATATAAATATATATATATATATTCCTTGTTTTCCAGCCACTTTTGTTGAAATTTTTTCTCTGTTTTGAGCTTCTTTTCCAAACATACAGCTTTACGGTCAACCAGAAGCAGTTCCGCACAAACAACCAAATATATCTGACGAAATTGTTTTTATAAATTTATTCTTTTTAATAAAGCATTTTAATTGCCACGATAATCATATTTATTGAATTTTAATCCTAATTAAGGCCTTAATTTAAAAAAAAAAGATAATTTAATGACTTGTAATGATTTTTAATGACCTGTGGTAACCCTGTTCTTGTAATTGCTAGTGATCCAAACAGTGATGTCATCTCCTATACCTAGCATGGGTGTGACATCTGTGCCCCGCAGCTACATTCTAGGTGACCAAGTTCTTACCTTGATTCTTTTGAGCAGCCACTGCATGAGTCCCTGTTGAGCCGCTTCAGTGCACAGGCCGGGTCTGAATTCTGCCATATTTTCAACGATAGCTGCAGGGGATGAAAATTAATTATTTAATAGCCCAAATAAAAGTTAAAAACTAATTCCACCTATAAAACGGACCCATCAAGATTCTTTCCAAAATGTTAGATCAAATGTAGAAGTAAGAAAACCTCAGAGCCTGAAGGTTTTGGGGTAACCGTATCCAGCAGACCATCGGTTCCTGCCAGCTTTTTCCCTCCAGTATTATCATCATTAACAAGACAGTCACATTTTGATAAAAAAATCACTTTACATCTAACCCCAATTAAGGTTTTTGTGGTCTCCCTGTAGCTGTATCTACCACCGTTTCAGAATGGGTATTGGATAGAAAATTGCACAATAAGAAGGTGTCATTAAAAATAATAAAAAAGAAAAAAAAAAGTGGCAGCTGAAGAATTTTGCAACTGAAATATCAAGGCTTTACAATTCTAGTTTTAAAGTACAAATTTTTTCCTTTGTGGCTATTCTACGGTTTCCAGGCTTCTGCATTAGATGCCAAAGAAGAAAGTCACCAATCACCTTTCCATATTCCTACTCCACTTTTGGACCAGTACATTTCCATGTAATCCTGTCCAAATTCCACATCTTACCTGTATGCACTTTAACTGTTGTGTACCGAGTTGTTCAGCTTTTTAAGTTAGTAGTTTCATAAGTTATTATTGTTCAGAATAATTGCCATTCAATGTCAAAGTATACTTTTTTTCGTAAAACCTTGCTGACTTATTTGCATTTATATTTGGTTCTGGTCTCTATGGGGATGGACTGACTAATAAACTATGACAGATTTAGACATTTGATAAAACAAAACCTACTCTATGCAACTCTAAAAAAGAAAATTTAAAATAATCCAGTGGACTTTGTTTCCAAGTTTGAAGACGTTTCGCTTCCCATCCAGGAAGCTTTTTCAATTCAAAATGTCCGGAATAGCGTCGAGTTGACCTGGATGACTGAGAACATTCACCACCATACTCTATGCAACATCCTGTCAGTTTATGGGGTCAGTTAGCTAAGCTTTTTCACAGCATAGCAGAATATAGAATTAGAATATACCAAACCAAACTGGATATAATTGTTACTTTTCTTCTTTTTTTTTATCAGTTCAAGCCCATTGTTCCTTTCTGCCTACAGAAAGATATTAACTTTACCATATAATTTGATGCTGAA